TGACATTTAGAAAATCTAAACATTCATAAATGTCTGCACAGATTTTTTTAAATAGGCAATTAGTTGCTAAAGGTCTTCGTGACTTCCCACAACGTTGAGCCTTTCTTCAATTTACTCCCCCCTCTGAAAATCATATTCCTCTTCATTTCCCATGGTCATTTCTGGAGCAGCTTTGTTCCGTGGGGGAAGAAATCGGCAAATACTCGTGAGCAGGAGTGTGGGACTGATCCTGGTCAATAACAGATCCCAGAAGACAGCAAGGCAAGCAAACAAATTTCCCCAACGCCACCATGAGCCACACTCTTTGTATCTACATAAGTTATTTGCTATATGTTTATGCTATTCCACTTTAATTTTATTCTGAGAACGCACTGGATGAGAAAGTATCATTGCTCCCATTTTACAGGTAAGGATACTGAGGTTTAGAAAGGAAGCATACCTCCTTAAGGGAAGCTGACAAGACAGCAGCTGAGGCAGCATCTGAGTGTCAAGGTTCATGCTCCATCTACCAATGAGAGGCTCTGGCAACTAGTTAGAACAGAAGCCCACACTGTCATCCAGAGGGACCCTATCCCACATGGATAGTGGAGGACCTAGGGTGAGGACTAGCATTCCTCAAACGGTCCAGCACACAGCAAGGAGCTTGTCAAAGGACACCATGTGTGTCCTCACTGGGGACTCTGAGGGGCTCTTGGTTTACTCAGTGTCCTATAGCCCTTTCTCCATACCACGTCACATCACAGCCACGGGGCTAAGTGCAAGGACACATGCCTCTGCAGCCACCAGAGCTCTATGGGAGAGTGTTTCTCTTTTAGACCCTCTGAGGTACTGAGATTCAAAGCAGGGAGTAAGTGGCCCAAGGCCACACCGTCAGAGAGTCTCCCAGCCCAGTCTCACCCGAGGACTGCCTGGCTCCAGCAGACAGTTCAGGCACACCATTTGGGCATCATATCCAATGAAATATGTCCTTGCCTCATGACCTTGCATAATTCAAAGCTGAAGTTCCCATAGGAATACATTCGAAGTAGAGTCACGATCAACCTTTTCCGATGAAGTGAGACTTGATGAATATTTATTTATCTGAACATATTAACATGGCACACTTCCACACTGCATGAGCACCTAGTACACAGCCCAACTAAAGCCACAGATGTGACTCCTAGGCCAAGGCCTGCCTGGCACCAGGAAGATGCCCCGAAGGGAGTCCATCCCCGAACACTTCCAGCTGTTGCTGGAGTCCCAGTCAAAGCCAGTGCCGCTGTATTGTTGCAATCAGAGTTTGCACAAACTGGATGAGCAACAACAAAAAACAACTTTATAGCCCATATTTCCCCGCAGCCTTGCACACTGCGGGCCTGTCAGGCAAGCTGTGGTGATTTGGCCAGGAGCAGTGGGGGTTAAGATTGGGCTGGTATGACTCCCTGTGATCTGGGGGCTTTGTGGTAAAGCCCAACTCAATCTAAATAGCCATCCCTAATAAGGAGCAAAGTGAGACCATCTCTAACCTCCCGCCCATGGCTACGTTGTGCAAAGCAAATGCCATGGGCTGTGGGCCCAGGCCACGGGGAGCCGACCAGCCTGACTGAGTAGGCCATGGTGTGTGGTGTCTGGCAAAGTGTCCTCCCCTCAGCTTGGCCCCGGTGCCCCAGGCTCCCTTGCTGATCTCATTAGCCTTGTCTTCATGCACCAGAAAGGTCAAGTCCCCACTCTCCATCAGAGCTGGTCTCCAATGCCCTGTCTAGATAGAGAGGAGGAAGGACAGGACAGAACCCATGTTCAGAATCCTCATCCTTGGCTCACTTGAAGCAAGGCTCAGCCTTTAATCAGTTCAGGGTGACCACGTGCCTGTGAAAATGACTAGAGCACCTGACAGAGACTTTTTATCACCCAAGGACTCATCAAACAACAAAGGATATATCTCAGGAAGAGGGGGAAATTGAAGCAACAATGTAGGTGAAATGCCCCCCAAGCAACAGTGAACACAGACACCCACAACCTTGTAGGTAAATATCTATAGGCACTGAGCACTGTAGATAGGTAAGACAGGTGCTTCCACAGCACTGGGTAGCAATGATGGCCATGGGTATTAAGGCATCCAAGGACTATGTTCTTCTGAAGAATAAAGACATTCATCAGCCTAGAGCTTGTTTAGTCATAAATCAATGTTAAACACAGGGGTAATGGTGAGCCACACTATTTAAGAATTAGAAGATTAGCCAGATGGTGGCGGTGCACACCTTTAATCCCAGCACTCAGGAGGCAGAGGCCAGCCTGATCTACAAAAAAGATTTCCAGGATAGCCTGAACTACACAGAGAAACCCTGTCTCAAAAAAAAAATCAAAAAGCATCAAAGGATTACACATAATAGGCATGCCAATTGATCTATGAATTTAATTTAATCCCAGTAGAAATTCTAGAAGGATATTTTTCTTTTGAATATAAACAACCAGATCTCAAAGTTTCTACAGAAAAATAGAACAAAACTAAATAAAACACTGGTGAGGGAAAGCATGCAGTGTTGGCAAAGTGACAGACAGATCGATGGGAGGAAAAGGAAGGCCAGAGAGGAACCATGGATGTGCTCAACTTTCTCCTCTGTGTGGACGGTAGAACTCGGGGTCCTGTGTATTTGGGGCACACTCTCTACCGCTGAGCTGCAGCCTTAGCCCAAGACAACTGATCTGTTATAATGGTGCAAAATTATGGTATGGTGAAAAGACAGTTTTTGTAACAAAATGTGCTAGGAAAAATTACATGCATACACAAAAGGAAAAACATGAGCACTGATAAATGGTTAACTCAAAACAGATCATAGGTCTACATGTAAATACAAAACAATGGAAACTCCTTGAGAAAATGCATAGAAAGATGTCCCTTTCCTGTGACCAGGCAGAGGTCTTGAATGCAGTACCAGAAAAATGAGTCATGGAAGGGAAAAAATAAGGAAAAGTTGGATTTCACCAAAATTAAAACCTCTTTTTTTTTGTTGCTGTTGTTGTTCTGGAAGTGACATACATTCTGCTAAAAAAAACTATGCAAGATGAGCCAGAGATTGAGAGGAAATTTTTGTAATGCTCACACCCAACAAAGAGCTATCTAAAATTTGTCACACTCAGCAATTTAAAATAGTGACCGCTTATAATTAGTTAATGGGTTGATAGGCAGAAAGGAACATTTTCTTCAAGTGTCGAGGCCAATGGTAAGGCACCTGAACTCTTATAAATAAACCCTCACTTACACTCCTGTAATGAACCCTGATGAAACTCACTGAGGCATACACATGCGCACGGCGTGTGCGTGAACACACACACACACACACACACACAGGCGTGCAGACAGACATGAAAGTAGAAGAGGGGGGCTAGTTGAGAAAAGGAAAAGGATTAGCAGGCGTGGGAGAAAGAAAGTGAATATGATCAAAATACATCATGTACATGTATGGAAATGTCACAATGAAACCTATTATCATGCATAATTAATATATGCTAATTAAAAGAATTCTAAAAATAAAATGTAAGGAAAGGTTACCTTTCCCTAGATCCTTCACTACTAGTTAGTACCATGTTTAACCACATAAATTCTTGGTCTATTTCATCCTGTCACAAGGCATCCCAATAAAAAGCAGAAGTATGGGTCACAGAAAGAGCCCATACCAGATGAGGGTCAAGAGACAGGCCTCCCTGTCTCTCTCTCCTTAGCTACTTGGACCATGAGGAGATATTTGAATATCTTCAAGTTCCAAGACCTACTAGGCAACAATTTCCTCCTAACTGAACATTCCCTTCAGGTTGGAAGAGTGGTTCTCAACCCTTTTGAGAGTGGAATGACCCTTTCATAGAAGTCACCTAAAGCTGTCTGCATATCAGGTATTTACATGATTCATAACAGTAGCAAAACTACAGTTCTGAAGTAGCAACAAAAATAATTTTATGGTTGGGAATCACCACAACATGAGGAACTGGATTGCAGCATTGGGAAAGTTGAGGTAGAACAGGAATGTTAAGACTAAGGAAACTATAGAAACCAGTAAGACTCAGAAGTTCATAAAGTTACAAGATTTACAAAGCTTTCCCCCAGGTCATACACAGCAGGAATCAGCTGCTGGGGAGGAGGAGCTTCTGGTAGGGTTGCCTACAGTTATCCAGGGAGCTCTAAGGATACAGCTCTTGTGAGTCTTCACCCATGATGGAGTGTGCCTTTTGGTGATGTGGCCACCTTAGAGTTACCCATGCTCCTGAAATCCCTTCCAATGCTTGTGTAATCCCTTATCCATGCTGTTATAATCCCTTACCCATGCTCCTGCAATCCCTTCCCCTGCTCCTGCAATCCCTTACCCATGTTATTATAATCCCTTACACATGCTCCTGTAATAAGCCCGAATAAACTTATTGGTTCACCAAGCTAGAGCTGAGTAGAATCATCATTTTGGGATGTCATGTGGAGTGAACAGACATTTGTTCATATTTCCCTGGAAAAATTACATAAGTCCTTATTTTATGACTTTTCTCTGCACCCCATTAGTGTCCCAGCATCAGTGACTATACCATACAAATACTATGTAATTTAAAGTAAAATCGATGGGTTTAACAAACAGCTGCAAAACATCAAGAAAACCCTCAAACTTCATAGTGTTCTACACTTTGGTTCTCTTTCTTCCAGGCCTCTGTCGGCTCTGGTTCCAGGCAGGTAGTGTTTGGATTGACCCTGGCATAAAGCACAAGGAATCATGGGGACAGGCCAGCAACCACAGGGCCTCTTCATCCTCAACAAGCCAGGAACCAGGTATCTAGGCTACTTCATACTTCTGTGTGTTTCAATAGGTTCCACAGTTAGGACGGTTTGGAGGGAAACTGAACTACTAGAGTCAAGGAGGGTCTCCAGCAAGAGAGGAAAGAGGCATGACCCAGAGTGGAAACCCCAACCGTTGGGGTACCACCATCAACTCTGCACCATGCTCATCCAGTTTCATCTCCTCACAGCAGGAGTCGGAGTCACTCACCAGCCGCGGCAGTGGTTGAGGTGTATTGATAGGGTTCCGACAGGAAGTGTGGGAGGGTGAGGATAAAGGCACCTGCAGCCAGGAGGAGACCCCCTATGCCGATCATCCGTGGGCGGTTCACCCGGCTGCCAAAGTAGCTGACAAAGATGATGAGGATGGCATTGCTGGTCTGCAGAGGGGAACAAGGGATCAAAGTGAGAACCAGGTCCTGCCTTCCCCTAGCCCAAAGGAGACCGACAATATTTCATCTAGGGAGACTAGACAGGAAGGGGCCGTCCAGCATTAGCGGGATCCCTGGCAAAGTTAGGCTAGCCATGCCCTGATATTCTTGTGTATATTGTATTCTCACAGCACCAGCTTCCCCGCAGCCTCTGCTTTTTGGAGCAGCCCAGTGGAATTATCTGAACACATAATGGACTAATCCAAGCACTGGCCATTTTATCCACAAATCTGGAGTGTGTGCAAGTGTCTACAAGAGGGTGTGCTCACATATGCATGTGTGATACGGAGTTTTGATACGGAGTTTCTCACCAACCCAAAGATTGCCAAATATCTAGGCTGGTTGGCTCTAGAGACCCTCCTGTCCCTACCTCCCTAACTCTAGGATTACAGGCACATGCCGCTATTACACCTAGATTGTAAAACATAGGCTCTGGGGATGGAACTAAGGTCTTTATGCTTGCATAAGAAGCACTTTACAGCTGAGCTCTCTCCCTAAGCTCTCCTAGAAAAATCTTTTGGGGCAAAATCCAAGGAAGCCTCTGGTCCTGGAAGGCTTCTGGAGTAGCATATGTTCCTTAGTTAAACTCCTAACTTGAATGAGGTCCAGGGTAACGGACTCTGGACTGAAAGTCAGAATAACAACCAAGCAACGTGCATGACTCCACGCACCATGCAACTGCTCTCATTTTATACTTTGTACTGGTTAATTTTCATCAACATGACCCACAATAGGCTCATCTGGGAAGAGGAAACCTCAGTCAAGAAAGTGTCTCCATCAGCTGGCCTGTAGGCAGATCTGTGGGAACATTTTCTAGATTAATGATTAGTGGGGGGGGGGCTGGCCCACTACAGGAGATGCCATCCCTGGCAGGTGGTCTTGAGCTGTAATAACAAAGCAAGCTGAGCAAGCCATCGTGGGAGCCAGGGAGAGGCGTTCCTGTGTGGTCTCTGATCCTGCCTCAGTTCCTGCGCTGGCTCCCTCCATGATGGCCTGACGTGGAAGTGTGAGAGCGATAAACCCTTTCCTCTCCAAGTTCCTTTGGTCAAGGTCGTTATGACAGCAACAGAAAGAAAACTAGAACTCGATAGCAAAACAGTCAGTGTCATGTTTACATCCATGAAGCCAGGAGACAGACTGAACCAGGGAGGCCCGACTTTAGGTTGTCTATGCCGTGCTAGAGCAATCTTCTGGAGGAGTTGGCTTCCGTCCCCAACAACTCTGCATCTAACCCACCTCCATAGCAATCCTAAATTCTTCAAAACGAAGGACAAGAACCAGACATACCACTTCCAAGTCCTGCCCAGTGTGGGCAGGACCACTGTGTTCCTGATGCTCCTTAGGAGGTGTGTTCCTTGTGTCCACCCCTTTGGCCCCGAATGCCTTTCCTCTCCCATGCCACCTTCTCATGGAACCTGCTGAACATCTTCTAGAGCTCTATTTCTGTACATTTGTCTTAGCTTTTTGTCTGTCTGTTCCTTTCTGCCTCCCAGCACCTAGGACAGTGTCTGGCATGCAGTTGGAGCTCATTAACATGTGTCAAGGAGCATGACCAACAGACAGAGGCTGTGGCACAAAGAAGAGGGTGTGAAGCTGTGTGAGGTGTATGAGGAGGCAGCCTGGTCTCAGCAGAGAGCCCTCCAGCCTGAAGTTTCTAGAACATTCTGCAGCGGGTACCCAGAAAAAGAACAAGCTTATTCTTGGGTTTCATCTCTTTCCTTCTTGCTTCTCCATCGTTTTTTATAAATGAACTGAAATGTCAAGTCATTTCAGCTCTGCTAGCCGACTTCAAAGGGCATGTGCGAGAGGCGGTGGAATCCAAAACAAACCCAGGAAGGAAGGTTGGGGTTCCTTGGCCCTCACTCATCTTCAGAAGCTGGGGTTGGTTTCTCTGTGGGTCGCTGGACCTGCTTGGGTGCTGGGTGTTGCTCCCCAGCTTTTCTTCAGCAGAAGAGTGCCTTGAAAGAATTCTTTATTCTTTCCCCCACTTAAAGCACACCTCCAAACTGCAGTTGTTCTCGCCGAGAAGAAGAGGACCTCAGGCCTGGCCCATCACCCTCAGAGTGCCCTGAGAACAGCTCCATCTACGTGGTGGTGTTGGACATTTGAAACATGACATAGAGCCCATTAATAGTACACTCTGTCCTTCTGTGTCTCAAAACCAAGGCAGCTAGGGACTGACTGGAGATGGACATCTAGGGCAGAGCTCTAGAACTCCAACCCACCTTATCTGTTCCCCCTCGATGTCATGTCAGAGTGGACACTGGGAGCAGCTGCTTCCCAAGGCCAAGACACCATGGCTTCTCTGTTCAAGGCCGTCCCCCGCCCTTGAACTGCCACAGGCCGTCTGCGTCCTTTCCTCTCACCTGGCCTCAGGACGGCTTTGAAAATGGAGCTTCAGTCTGAAGGTTTGTACTCACTGCACACTCAGATGGCATCACCCACCCTTGCGCCAGGCTGGACTTTCTTCACGCCCCTGCCACCCCCCACACACACACACTCACCACCAGCAGCATACAAACGCCAGTTGTTCCCGGACCACAGTTTTATTTCAAGCATTCAATGGTGCAGATACAGTTTAAGTGTGAGAGCTCATGGCTTGGGATCCTCTTGACTGCTGGAGGAGAGGCTCTACCATACATGTCAGACCTCGTTTGTTTAGTACAGGAGTCTAGAACACAGGGTGAGAAGGAACCAGAGGCCATGTCTGGGCTCACCAAGAACTGTGGGTGACTTGTGATACGTACACAGGCCAGGGCCAGGCTACAGTGATGTAAATGTCAGAGGTTTGTTTCCTTGCTGTCTGTTGTCTGTGAGGACAATATCAAGTCAAAGGCCAAATTTAAGGGGTTGTATTCTGCACTGAGATGTAAACCCAGCCCCCTGTTATGCTCCTCTCAAATCCCATGGTTAGGACAGTACCCACAATGAAGTGTGGCCAAGAGCCTCTCACTCAGGGCTGGAGAAATGGCTTGGCATTTGAGAGCACTTGTTGCTCTTGCAGAAGAGCCAGGTTTAATTCCCAGCACCCACATGGTGGCCTACAACCATCCCTAACTACAGTTACAGAGGATCCAATGCCCTCTCCTGGCCTCCTTGGGCACCAAACATGCACATGGTACACATAGTATACATGCAGGCAAAAAAACATAAAATAAATCTAATTAATTTTTTTAAAAAAAGCCTCCCACTCACCTCATTCAGGCTGGAAATGAGACCCGAGGAAGAACTGGAGAGCCCAAAGCGCTTCTCAATCGTGGTGAGGCTGCTCTTGAAGTAGGCGCTGTAGAGCAGCTGACAGAGCTGTAGAAGGCCATGGAAAAGCACGAACACCTGGGTAACAGATAACAGCCCTGTGAGGTCTCTGCACAGTGACCCAGGTGCCTGCCCAGCCTTCTATCCAGGGCTCTGGGGCAGCAGGGACTGCCTCCTCATGGGAACACTAGCTTCACTGGATGGTTCTGAGGGTAAAATGCTATCAGGTACCATACCATATTTCACCCCATGGGAAACAGTCCGAAAATTCTAGCCATTCCTGGATTTACCAGATGTTTTTGAGACCCCATCCCATGTCTCCCAAGTTGGTTCCAAACTCACTATGAAGCTGAGGATGACCTTGACTTTCAGATCCTTCAGTCTCTACTCTGTGCTGAGCTCACAGGACTGTGTCACCACATTTGGTTTTTATGCTGTGCTGGGCATTGAACCCAAGGCTTTGTGCATACTAGGCAAGCACTCTACCTAATGAACTGAACTACATCTGTCATCACAAGGACCACACTAAAACCACGGGGATGTCATCCTCCATGCAAGGCCCTGACTTACACAAGCATTAAGGGCCATTGGTACCTTGGGTTGCTCCCTAGCCGTATCACAATACACCATGGACTGCTGCTTGGTCTTTCTACAGAGACCTGAGTGAGCTGAAAGCCATCCTCTATTCAATATGGACCATTCTTACTGACACCAGTGAGTTCTCAGTTGGGATGCTCTGCTTCTCCTGATCTGCCCTCCATTCCTAATCTCCATCCTCCAAGGTCCAGCTCTCCTATCTCCAGGAAGATATTCTGACACCATACTCTAACCATCTAATTGAATAAATACCCTCATTCCATCTCACCAAGCTGTTTATCAGGGATATCTTGACCTCTTACAAGAACATCTATGGCTGGACTTGTCTCCCTCTGGATGGATGTTCAAGGCCTTGGAGAAGTGCCAAAGGTTGTCACCGTGTCCTACCTAGCCTCACATGCCTTGTCCTGTGTGTGCTGAGTAAATGTGAGTTCCATGCCTGACAGGGATAGATGTACATTGTAAAGCAAGTTAGAGGAGGAATTTGATGATGTCCTCAGCTCCAGGCTGAGCCTTCCTGGGATAGCAGCTATTGCATGAACAGGTACCAAGTCCTACAAGTCCCACATCCTTAAGCAGTGCTTGGAAGCTTCCTTTGAGTCATGCTTTCCTCCATGGAAGAGTCGGTAGCTGTCATGTTTCATACCCTGTAAAAGTTATTCTCTTAGTTGAAGGGCTGGTGTCTGAGAAGAGCAACTATGGCTATACCTTCATCTTCATTTCCCTCCAAAACTGAGCCTACCTCTCTTCTGGGCCCTCCCTCCAACCCATGAAATTTCCTAGCTGCTAGCCCAGAGCCTTGGCAAAGCCAACTTGAGGCTTCTGAGACAATGCCCAGAACTCACTGCATGTCCATCTATATTCATGGCCTCTTAATCCAAGAAGGTCATAGCACTCAGGACATCAGACCCCTCCCCCCAACTACTGCCTGCTTCTGAGCCGCAACAACTAGCCCTCTCCTCCACAGAGGCAAAAGAAAGTCTGCAAGGATCCAGAGGCATCCCTCTAGTCCTGCCTTCCAGAAAGCATCTTAAGTGGTTTCTTTCATGAGCTTGAATCTTCTCAATATTTTGTGATAGTTTTGGGAATGATTTTGTCCCAGTTTCTTTTCCAACATGGAGAAACTGAGGTCCATAGATGGAGAACCTGGGTGCCCAGCAATGTTCCTGCCAGTAACTTTTGGAGCCTAGGGTCTTGTCATGTGAGATGTATGGAGTGGGTGGTGTTTGAATGCGTTTCTCACTCTACATAGCTGTCCCCTTCTCTTGAGTCCTTAGTTTTTCTCAGTTGTGAGGTAACTCAGCTAAATCATTGATCCTGAAGTCAACTTTGGGTAAAAACAGAGGATAGAGGGCGTGGGGGTGTCTCTGGAATAGAGTTTAAGGCCCAAGTCTAGATCCACAGAATCAAAATCGGTGGGAGTTAAGTCCCACATGTATGTTTTGAAAGAGTTCCTGAAGCAGAAACTGGTGGGCAGCATGGATTGTAATTCCTGGGCTGAATGGTATGTTCTGGCTCTGTCCACCTCTGTGTGGTGGAGGATCAGAAAGGGAAAAGCAAGCACAGAGCTTGGACGTGATGAGGATGGTCATCGCAAAGGTGTTGATGAAGGTGGTATGATGGCATCAGTGTTGATGGTGACCAAGGAGGTGAAGGTGGTGACGGAAGTAAAAACGCTGGAGAAGATAACGTTAGAGGTGCTGGTGAGGGTGGCGGCCAGTGTGATATTGGAAGTGAAAGTGGTAATAAAAGTGAAAACAGTGGTGGAGGTGATGGTGTTTGTTCAACTGGACACAGCATAGAGTGATTTTTTAGAAAAGGGAATCTTAAGTGAGAAAGTGATCCCACCAGACTGGTCTGTGAGCAAGCCTGTAGTACGTTTTCTAGACTGACAGTTGATGTGGGAAGGCCCAGATCACTGTGGGCAGTGCCACTCCTGAGCTGGTAGCCTTGGGTTATAAGGAAGCTGACTGAGAAAGCCATAAAGAATAGGCCAATAAGTAATGTTCCTCTGTGGCCTCTGCATCAGCTCCTGCCTTCCGGTCTGTGCCTGCCTTGTCCTCTTGCTCTTATTGTTACCTGGAAGTGTAGGACAAATTTAACTCTTTCTTCCCCAAGTTGCCTTTGTGGTGTTTTGTCACAGCAACAGAAATGTTAACTAAGACAGTATTAATGACGGTGAAGACGCTGGTGATGACAAAGTATTTGGTGAAAATAATGTAATGGTGAAAAGATGATAAGTGGGTGCTCTGATTTCCTTTCTTGTTGCTGTGATAAAAACACTCTGACCAAAAGCAATTGAGGGAAGGAAAGGCTTTATTTAATCTTACAGGTTACAAACAATCATTGAGGGAAGTCAGGGCAGAAACTAAAATAGGAATTTGAAGCAGAAGCCATGAGGAACATTGCTCTCTGGCTTGCTCAGACTCATTGTCATGGAGCTAGCTTCCTTATCCAGCCTAGAACCACCTGTCTAGGGAATGGTACTGCCACAGGGCACTGAGTTCTCCTATATTAATTTACAATCAGGACAATCCTTCACAGGATGCCCACAAATCAACTCCATAAAGACAATTACTCAACTGAGACTCTTTTTAAGGGATAGGGATGACTATAGGCTGTGTTGATGGCGGATGCTAACTAGGACATAAAGTGTCAGTAAAGATGGGGTAAAGGTGATAGTGATGGTATTAGTGTTGCTGATGGTGAAAGTGTTGGTAGAAGTAAAGGTAATGGCAATGACAAAGGTTCTGGTGAAGGTGATGGTAGTGAAGATATTAGGACTGGACAGTTTGGTCATTGCTCACGCATACAAGACACCAACACACTGCATCTTAGACTATTCCCTGGGTCAGGCTGGACTCAGGAAAGAAGCAATCTAACACATAATGCCTTAGATCAACTCTTGAAAGTTAATGCTCCTAAAATCGCCTGAGTTCCTCTTCTGGACATGCACTCTTTTAGAACATTCTCTTGACAACCCCATGGCAGTCAATTCTTGGTTCCTCTTCAAGAACTTTCCCCAGAGCTCTACATTCTGGTGTAGTATTCTACTGTCTGTTGGGCATGTCTACACCAGACCCCTCAGACTGGTTGCTCTCCAGATGTGACAGACTGTCTAGTTCAAGGTTGCTTTCTCAAATCCCTGTACCCTATTGATGGCTTTTGAGTAGAGGTACCTTGAAGGCTTGGTACATGCTTGTAACAAGAGTGGCGTCTAGCAGAGGAGTAAGGGAAACCAACTGGGGGAAGAGGACATGTGAGAAGGGACCAGATCAGAGACCCTCACCGAAGATGAGTTGTCACTGACTTTAAATGGAAGAAATGCCAGAAGCCATGAAGGAGAAACAGCCATAGGTGAAGAGGGGCCCAGGAGAAGCATGGTATGGGTAAGAAGGACGGCAGAATCTGAGTTGGTAAACTTATGTTTCTGAGCATTGAGTTCAGAGAAGACCCATCTCCCTTTGTTTAATTAGTAATGAATTATCAGGAGTGAGCAATCCCTACCAACTTCCGATGCTGTCTCCTGAGAGGAAGATGGGGACGGTGGGAGAGACACTGCCTCCAAGTCTTTCCTAAAGGATGCGCCTTTGCTGTTTCCAGTAAGTAATGGAATTCTGCATCTTCACCTCTGAGCTAAGCCTTGCCACACCCTGCCCCTTCATCACCAAACTCACACCAGTGTTGGCCACTGCAGCCTGGGCCGATCTGCATGCTTCACTGATGCTCTGGCATGGGTGCTCTTATGGGTCTGAGTCATATTCCCGGGGCTTCTGCAGATGCAGACAGCTGGGATGTGTGGCTATCACAGCAGGAGAAAATGCCAGTTAAAGAGAAAGCCACAGAGGGATGATTTTGACAGAGCTTGCTGGTCAGGGCCACTCCCAGGGTCACAGGTACCTGACCCCGCATACCGTTTCATGAGGATGGAACCAGGAGGCCGCGTCCTTGTCCTCTCAGACCTACCAAATACCTGTTCATAGCCAGCAGGGGAGACAGAAATGGTCACCTGTCAGTGTAAAAGAAGTGAAAGCCATCCCTTGAGGAGGGCCTGGTTTGAGGGGACACGTAGATTGACAGTGGAACTGGGGGGGGCATACTAGCTGGCTTACAGCCTCCCTCTACTTCACTTAGGCCATACCAGTTTTTAAAGGTTTAGGTTTTGGAGTCACATAGGACTAGGTTCAGATCCTGGCTCTGTAAGAAACCTTTGGCTACCAACATGGTCACTCTGAGCCACAGTTCTTTTAACAGTACTCAGGAGCTGTAACACCCTAATGGAAAGGATTACTCAAGGGGTGTGTTTAGGACCCTTGGCACTATGCTGGGCCCACAAGCTGCCCTAACTCTCTCTTCCCTTGCCCCTAGAAATTAACCCCTCTATGGCTTTCAGTTCTGTGCCATGAGAGGTGGAAGCTGGGTATGCTATATTTGCAGACTGCTACAGAGGCCACTCCTTGCTCCAAACGCTCCAAATCCAA